TCAGGAGATGAAAGAAAACATTTTTCTCCCTGAGTCTGGCCTTCATAATTCCATTCCATCATACCTCCCATCTATTCTTTTCAGGATTGCTGCTATGTTATGAATTTGCTTTGAAATGTACAGTTTTCGTTACAGATTCAATTATGATGTTTAAACCATTACCTTAAGTTCCAGTCGTGTAGTATTTACTTGACACCGATAAGTAGCAAGGAGGAAGTTACCATTTGGCTGTGAAACATTTATAGTTAGAAACAATAAGTTAAAAAACTGGAATAGAAACTCAAATTTGATTTAGTATAAAGATAAAAATTTAGTATAAATATAAAAATTCAATTTCAATTGTGATAACTATCAAAGAACTTGAGAACATTTTAAAAAAGTAACTAGTACAGGTAGTCCTCGCTTAACAACCACAACAGGGACCAGAAAATTCATTAAGCGGGGCAGTCATTAAGTGAGGCATCACATGAACGCACCCGACTACATTTTTTGTGGCAGTCGTTAACCATATCATACAGTCCTTAAATGAATCACACAGTTGCCCATTGATTTTGCTCGCCAGAAGCCGGCTGGGAAGGTTGCAAATGGCAATCAGGTGATCCTGGGATGCTGCGATGGTTGTAAGTGCAAAGACTGGTTATAAGTTACTTTTTTCAGTCTGTCATAACTTCGAATGGTCACTAAACAAATGGTTGTTAAGTGAGGATACGTGTAGTAACTTTAAAATATTAATTAATTTATTGTATAGGCTTTTCTCAATTGGAAACTAAATCAACCTGAATTCCTGGAGACTTCATCCATGAAGTTTTCTTGATAGCATGGCAGAAACGGTTTTCCTGTATTTTCTTCCAGGATGTTTTTCTTTCTCCCTGCCCTTTACTTCCTGGTGTAGTCAACAGCCCTGAAATTCTCACTACTTTAGTCAAAGTAACACAAAGAGCTTCATGCTGTAAGCTCCATTTCTTCTGGGCAAGCATGCAACATCATGATGCATGTTTAAAGAGGTGGATCTTGCACTGCAACATTACAATGCTGCTCACATTACTCTAACCTCCTTGCCCCAACTACTGGCATCACTGCTCATCTGGTTCCTCATCCAAGCAATAACCAGGGCTAACACTGTTTAGTCCTCAACATCAGCCAACATGCTGCCATATTGTGGCAAATGAAAGCATTAATTTTCTATAAATATCAGTATTATATTCTTAATTACAATCTAAAAAGATATAATTCACTTTGAAATTAATTATATTAATTTATATCTACAATATAATCTCAACATTAAAAAATAAAACATGCTATACTATGTGAAAAAGTGTTACTTCTATTACAATATATGTTAGAGCATTTATCAACAGCTGACTTCAGAAGTAATTACCACTCCCAATTACCACCAATGTGATTTAGTCCCTTTAGACATACACAAGAAGCAGTGAAAACCAAATAAATGAAGCTCTTACATAGAAATCTAGACTGGGTTACTATGAATGCTTATCTAAAAGTATCAATAGATATATTGTAGTGCTTTTCTAGATAAGATTGTTTTTCTATACATAATTTAATATTTTTAGTGCTTAATTATTTAAATAGTAGGATGCTAATCTTGCATTTCAACAAAGTAATTTAACACATACTTAGAAACAAAAATACAAATACATTTAACAACTATGTAAGGAAGCATGCATAATATTTACTGACTATATTCACACTTCGCTTCAAATGCTTCAAATGTTATTATGTGCCTTAAGAACATTCTTATTAAAAACAAAATTTATTCAAACTGATCAACAACTTTACTTTCAAGTAGATTTGAAAGCCAAAATCCAGTAAACTCCATAGAATTAAACTGATCTATAACAACTGCACATACCTCAGATTCACAGTCAATAACACTAACCACAGCTGAATTTTTATCCACATCCTTTAGGTCTATGGGAACATCACACTATGGAGACAAACAATATCAAATTAAAGGATAGTTGAACATATGGTTATTTCAATTCTCTCTTTATACAGTAATTAAGATGCTTGTGAAACCTTATGGTAAAAAAGAGGTATCATTGTCTATAAGAGGAGCTGCCCCAAAGCTTGCTTCACCCTTCACCTTCCTTTTGAATTATGTCAATTATGTCAAAATATTAATATATTAAATAATATTAATAGTATTATTTATCCCATGGGGCAGTCAGTATCTGATGTGACTCAATAGTTATGTACATAGCAATATATACACATTTTTTATATACTGTAAGAGCATGACAAACTGTAAGAAATGAAAAAGGAAGCAATTACAATAAGCCCATGTCACATGTGATTGACAAATCCTTAGTGCAAATGTTGTTTAAAACCAGCACTCACTTCATATATTCCCTTAAAATAATTTTTTTTCTGCTTGTCCCTTAAAATACTGTGTGGATTCAGAAGAATATATCAGTGATACAGGACTGCAACTGAAGGGCAAAATTCAAAGTTAAGTGTATCAGAGTTGCACTGAGATAGGATTTAAAAATACAATAAGTTAGTTGAAACCTATCTATTTCAACTGGATTTTCTGTATTTCGGCTTTTGCCAGATTGCACACATGTCCTTATTGCCTCAGAGGTGGAGTGGAGGAAAGAAAATAATTCCAACCAAGTATAACCCTCAGAGAAAAATTAGATCACATCTACTTTTAAGATAAAGAAAAGAGTTCAATGCCCAGGTCTACGGAGTTGCTATAAACAGTCTCTCACCTGTAGCAAGACAGTATCAATTGCTGCCTGGACCTCTAAAACAAGGCTGTAGCTGGCATCATCTTTATTTAATATAAATTTATCATTTACACTGAAAGTTGGGACTGCTGAAATAGCAGTGCTGGACTGAGAAGACTGCTGGTATTTTTCACGTTCTTCAAGTACTTTCATCTGTAACTGATCCAATTCATTCCTAAAACAACAGAATAATGAGCAAACATAAAATTGCTATATACTGTATTTGTATATGCGTACTCTGTATGTTTATGTGCATGAGAGAGGGAGAAAGAGGGAGAAAAAGAGAGAGAAGAGGGAGAGAAGGTGGCAGCATTTAGAATAAACCTATTGGAAATAAATCCTTCGATGTTAAAATTATAAGCAGCAGAATTCTTTTCTGAAAACATAATAGGTTTTAAATGCTGGAATTATATTTCCTAATACTAGGTTAGACTAGTATTAAATTATATGCAATGCTCAAGAGTGTATAAAAATAAGTGCATTTTTAAAAATAGTTCTTTTTTAAACTATTTTTGCGTGTTTAATTCATTAGCTTACTGAAATCCAATCATAACTTCAAGATAACTGCTTTGTTTTAAACCACAATCTGATTCTACAGCAATTCCATCAATTCCAATGCTATAACACTGAATCTGCTTAGCTGGTCAGGTGATTTAGAGAGAACCTGTTGTTGTTTACCCCTCCTTACGAGATCCATGGGTGTGAGCCAGAGACAGAGCTTCTGGTGGTGGCCCTCATTTTATGGAACACTCTCACCTTAAAGCACATATGGTGTCTACTCCACAAGTCTTACAAAAAGCAGCACTGTTCCACTGGGTGTTGGCCCTTAGGTTAAGAAAATGGTAACTTTGATGAACTAGTTTTTTACTGTTGATTTCAATTATTGTTTTTAGTGCATTTTTAGACTTCATTGTACCCCACACAAAATACAGGTAGTCCTCAACTTATGATGGCAACTGGGACTGGAATTTTCATCACTAAATGATGCGGTCATAAAGTGTGACTGCATTGCTTAGCAATAGCAATGCCTGCAGTCATGGTTGCTGCTGTTAACTGAATCCCATGGTCGTTAGGCAAGGCAACTTCCTGCTGGCTTCCCACAACAGAGTCAGTGGGGAAGCTGGCAGGAAGTTGTAAGTCCCAGGTGGCTTGCAAGCAGACCGGCAGGCAGGTAAGTGGCTGCTGCTGGGTGGAGAAGGGCATGAGCGGGTGCATGAAGGTGTGAGGGAAGCGTTGCAAGGGTCAGAGAGGGTATGCAGGGGTGCACAAGGGTGCCCTGGAGGCATGGTGAGGGTCATGGGGCTGTATGAGGGTGTGCGAGGATGTGGGGGAGGCATGGGGGGGTGCACAAGGGTGCAGGGGAGGCATGGCGAGGAAAGGGGAGGGTCCACAAGGGTGCACGGGGGTGTGCAAGGGTGCAGGGAGGATTGGGGAGGGTCTGTGAAGCTGTGAGGGTGGTGCGGCAAGGGTCAGGGAGGGTGTGCGAGGGAGGCACGGGGAGGCTCAGGGAGGGTGCACAGGGGTGCACCAGTGGCCAGAGCAGCACAAGTGCAGACGGGTGGGGGAGGGTGCGCAGGTGGGGGTCACTTACCCACCAACTTTCAACCTTCCCTGCTGGCTTCCCCACTGATTTTCTGGGGAAGCCGGCAGGGAAGGTCGCAAATGGCGATCACATGTTTGCAGGGCGCTGCAACTGGTCATAAGTACAAGCTGGTTGCCAAGCACCCAGATCATGATCATGTGACTGCAGGGATGCTGGGACAGCCAGAACTCTGAGGACCAGTCGTAACCACCATTTGTTCAGCACCATCATAACTTCAAATGGTCGTTGAACAAATGGTCATAAGTCAAGGACTACCTGTAATCTATTAGGATTGGGACAGAATATACATGTTGTATAAATAAATAACATTATAAAATATCCAATCTCCAGGAGCAGAATATAATTTCTTAGACTGTATTGCTTATTTTAGCTCTGTTCAGACTACTGTTTCGGGTTGTATAACTATTGTTTATGAAACCAGGACTGAGTATCAAGGCCAAGTACTCCTCACTTAGCTTTCACTGCACACTAGTTTGCAGGCAGAGTTCTGGTTTGCATTAACTCAGAAGCCTGTACTGTATTTGAACTGGGGAATTCTGACTTAATGTTAAAGTAGGAAATTAAGCCAGATAAATGACAGGAGACAAACTTAATTCCTGATATGCATAATAACTTTATAAACTATGATTTACGAAACATGTATTGATTGTCTAGGCCACCAAATGTTACCAAATAGACAAAGTGTGTTCTAAGATCTATTTTATTCTCAAAAGGCAAGAAGAGTCTCTTGTGGGGGAGTTTACAAAAAATAAAATGATGCAACAAATAATTGACATTTTAATAACAAATTATCACAAACATTTGGTTGGATATTTATAAGGCAACTAAGAAGTAGTCAAGGATATAGTGATGGTGCACTGGTGACAGAAACCTACTCAAAATGTGTGCCATATTAAGGCAAAATTATTACCTCAGTATCTTTTTTTGCACTTTCACAAAATCATTACATTACCTTAAGGACAAAACTTTGTTCTGTATTTCATGAGTCATCTTTAATCCATCTCCTGATCCACATTCTCTGTGAATAGGCTCAGTAGTTAATCCAGACACCCACCCTAAAAGATGAATATATTTTTCAGATTTCAGATTCTTGTTATTATGCAAAAATTTAGGCACTTCTCAAACTCAACAAATCCATATGTTTAAAAACAAACAAAACTCTACATTCTGCCAGCTAGCAATGTTGGCTGAGGAACTTTGTTAAGAAATGGAAGTTACATGGAACTGTGGAAGTCAATTTCTGGAAGACCAAGAAAAATCCGCTCCCAAAATGCTCTGCAAAACAGAACCCTCACATTACTGAAAACAGCCTGCAGAAAAGGTCCATCATCTGGTGTTGCTTATACAACAATGATCTGCATGGGAGAGTTGCCAGAAATAAACTTTTTCTCTGATTTCATCACAAAAGTCATCTAAAGTATGCAAAAGAAAACATTAGTAAGCCTGAAATGATTTGGAACAAAGTGCTTTGGACTGATGAAATACGTAAAAATTGAACTGTTTAGCACAACTACATGATACATTTGAAGAAAAAAGGGTAATATCCTGCCAATGTGTTTTGGAATTGTAAGGCAGCAAGTATACAGGAAATATTGTGTGGATGGAATGAAGAATGATCCTACTAAAACTCTTGTGTCTGTAACCTTCAACTGGGTGAAACGGTGTGTCATAGGGCAACAATTTGTGAACCAAGGCACCTCAAATGGGCTAACTTACAGAATGCATCTAAAATCCAGGACTCATTACTCCCGTGGGATTGAAATTTGGGAAATTTCTGGCTGCTTCAGCACTGCTGTACTGCTGCACCACTGTGCTCAGCCCAGGTCACGTGATTGTCATGAGTGTATCCCTGTCCTGTTTCCTGCCTCCCTCTGTCCCCTGCACCCAATTGGTTGGCGGCAAGGCCCGACAAGCGAGTGGAAATTGGCTGCTTTGGAAACGAGGCAGAAATCTGAAATCTCTTAACAGCTGTGGGCGTTGAGGGAAAGATGAGGGAGCAACCTGGGTGCCTCCTGGTGAGATAGGGCTGGCTGGGGAATGCCAGTGGTCAATGGGTGAATCTTCTTCCTCCCTCGAGGGGGGGACCTTTGGAAACACGCTGGAATGCGGAGCAGGGCTGCAGTTTTCCTCATAGTCCAGGGCTCCCTTTGTTCCTCCTCCCCCCAGCAAAGTGGTAGGCAGTTTGGCAGGTCAGTTGAGGAGGAGGAGGAGGCTCTCCTGAGGGTCATGAGGGGAGGGCATATAGTGCAGGGAGGGAGGGAGGAAGGAAGGAAAGAAGAGGGAGGGAAGACTGAAGGAGGGAAGGAAGGAAGGAAGGTTTCTGATGCTCCCTGCCAGCTTCCCACAAGCAAAGTCAATGGGGAAGCCAGCAGCAAGTCACAAGACACTTACACTCCCACTGCTTTTTTGCCCTTGGTCATTCTGTTTCTCTGTTTAGGTAAGGAAATATCTCTCAAACA